AGAGGATTTCTGTGCTCCAAGGAAAGCTTGCTGTGCTACAGAATACTTTGCCGTGACTTCTCTCCTGATTTAATTAACCTTTTACTGGCTCTGTTCACGCAGTAAATCTGCTACACACAACTGTAAAATGTCTATGACCGCCGTGTAGACCTGTGACTTGAACAAATTGAAATTCTTTTCTGCTACATCCCCCTAGTAAACACTCCTGGATAAGAACACGGACATGCAAGGCCCTGCTGCTTCCCCGCGTCCTCTATGAAAGCATGAATGCAACACACTGTTTCCCACAATAGGTTTGGACAGGAGGTGCAGGCCACAGCACACAAAGCCTCTACAAGTGTCCTGTACTGGCAGCTTAGACAAAGAGTCTGGTGGGACTGCTTGCCTTGCAGTTTGTGAAGCAGATTTCCTCAACTAAAGTGTGGAAAGAAAAAAATGTCCTGTTGTACAGTTGACTTTAAGGTAATGGCACAAGGAGCCGAATCTGGATCAGGAAGCAAAGAGATAAAGATGAAAAGGACAAAATAGAAAAAAAAAACAGAGTAGGGGACCAGTGAAAGACAACAACTCAAATAAAAAATAAAATGACATCTCACATCCACTTTGATAATTAACTGTTTAAGAAAATTTTCTATAAGCTCCAAATAGGCTAAGAAAAACTGGCTTTAACTCCAATTCATACCGAATGCTAACAGGAAGGATCTAGTTTAATCTGGGATCAACAGACTCACAGGTGGATCAAAACCCCCCAAAAAATACAGCTATTATGGCAAATTGTAATTTAATTTAACATTTTTATGACAGTTGATCCCCATAATAAATATAAATTATTTAATTCTCAATAAATTAAACAGATGCAGCATGGTTTATGTATATGGATACAACATTTCTTTAGAGGTAAAAAAATGGAAGGAAATTAAGGTTTGAACTGGTGAGTGTGGAAAAATGACCCAAAAGGAAATGCTACTGTCGATAATAATAATAATAATAATAATAATAATAATAATAATAATAATAATAATAATAATAATAATTAGTTTTTTAGAATAAATAAATTAATTAAATAATATGTAATAATCAAAACAAATACAAATATTGAGATTAGTATATACAAAAATATATTATAGTTATTATCAATATTCTATTAGCAAATATAATTTCTAGCAACATTTCTTACAAGGTGCTTGCTCCTGGTGTGTTCATGTTACTGTGTTTTTGTCTGCTTCTATTTACGCGTGTTGTGTGTCTGTGTGTGTGTCTGACTACTTGTATGTAGCTGCGGACAGAAATAGAGTAAAAGGTCATCTGTGGTTAAACTGTGAGAGGAACCAGAGGCTGCCCCTTTGCACCCCATCATGAGCCGGGGGGCGGTGTTGGTGGTGGGGGGGGAGCTCCAACGCCGCAGACACGGATAAAAATGCCAGAAAACAGTGGCTCTTTAGCCCAGGATGACAGACATTACCGGGGAAGTAGTTTGCTTCAAAACAAGCTTCAGCAGGCATCAAGTCCCTCCGTTAAACAATAAATCCACCTGATATGTTTCATAAAGTTGAGGAAAGCTGTTGTCAGGTGCTGAAGCTCTCCACCTGTAATACCTAACAAGTGAGCGTGAGCTTTTTCACACCCTATTAGGAATACAACTCAACTGGGCCATGCAATGTTTTTGCTGCATGAAGTCATTCATGTTTTATGAAGGATATAATATTGATTTTAAGCACAGCACAGCCAACATTGGAGGTGTGTGTGTGTGTGTGTGGGGGAGGGGAGGGGTGATCAGTCTCCTTGGTAGTTTGGACTTTTCCTCCGAGGATGTTCTTTGACCTAACACAAACAATATAAATATATAAGGAACCTTCACAACAAGGTTTTCGTTTTAAAGAGTACCCTAAGCTCAAGTGAGAAGAGCACACAGTGGCTTTTTGTTTTGTTTGGAGGGAATTTGTTCACATTTTTAAATCAGGACATTTTCTGTACTTAGTTAAAATTCATTTCCTCTGGATGCCGACAGAACCTGAAACAACTCTCAGCTCCAAATATCACCCTGGGGTATTAAATCTTAAATCTGGATCACAGAAACATGTCCATATTCTCAGTTAGAGAGGAGAATTACAATATGTGGTTTGCTGCATTTACATTTTTTTTTTATTTTTTTATTTTTTACTATATTCAATCAACTTAAAATGTCTGCAGGAAACTAGAAATGCTAGAGACACAAAGTGACCTACATTCAACTCCATTTGAAATCCCAAATAGAATTTGCATAACTTAAATAGGTCCTTCTAGAATCATTGATACTCTCTAATATGACTAAATAAACCCAACTATGCATAAGTATATCCCACCATAATTACTGTTTGAACTGGAGGTTTCTCTCTTCTTATTTTCTTAAAATACGTTCAACAAAATTTTGATTGTGTTGCAAAGAACTTCAAGCATTAATGACTTATTCAGTCGTTCAAACTGTGTCATTGTAATATCTAGGTAACATATCTTAATTACAGGATTATTTTATGTAATATTCTCTGTGTGTAAATTACTTTTGTATGACTTTTTTTTAGGACCTAGGGCCCTCAAAGAGGTTTATAAAGCTTTTTTCCATTTATTTAATTAATATATTTATTTAATCATTTATTCATCTGCCAGCTCTCCATACAATACATATTTATTTATTTTGAAAATAAATATTAGCTGGAATAAAATAAATAAATATCTCAACTAAAGACGTCTTTGACGTTTTAAAATTTTCTTTAAAGCGACTAAGTAAAAACAGAGAAAAACATAAATAAAAAATACAAAGAAAGTAGACAAGGAATAAAGAAAGGAAGAAACAAAGACATACAAAAAGACAGAGAAAAACAAAGATGGAAAAGTAAATAAATAAATAAATGGGAGAAAACTAATGCACAAACACTGAAATATTTAAATAATGTTTGGACTAATTTGGAAAGCCTCCAGTGACAACGGATTATCTTCTGAATCAAATATACAAAATAACTAAATTTCTCCCTGCCCACAAAATATATTAGCTTTCATTCTTCCTGTCGTCCCATCTGAGTATTTACAGAGCTTCAGACCGACCCCTGATGACCACCCTGGGTACATCTGTTTAAGTAACCGACCTCTATCCCTGAGGTGAATATCTGCAGATGCCACACGCTGCGAACGCGCACAGCCTTTGGTACTTCTCTGTGTCGAACACTCTGCAGAACAGAGCAAATTACAATGAAATATCGAGTTCATTTATGAATAAGTGGGGCTGAACGGCCCCTTGTCGGAGCTTCCGCATGCATATTGAGTTGATAGAAACCTTTGGATGGGTCATTTCTCTTAGCTGCTTCATTAAATAGTGAAAGTCAAAAGTGCAATGCTTCCTGCCAAAGGAAAAAAAAAAGACAAAGATCTATAGAGGTGGAACAGAGGCAGGTTTTTTTTTTTTGTTCTGACTTGAAATGCAATAAACCAAGAAAAGGTTATAAAAAGTTTGAATTTTAAATTAAATGAAACTGAAAATAAGAAAGAATTCACTTTTCGCAACGTTGAAAAAGAAACAATTTTTATTCCTGGAATGACCAAAAATATAAACTCACTCCTGCCTTGCGAGTGACCTTAACTCCCAGCAGGACATTGTTCAAACCTGAGCCAATCAGCAGAAGCTTCTTGAGGCATTTCCTGACTGTGGAGTGCGCATGAGAGTGTGTGAGGTCACACACTTTTAAGTGGTTGCGGCGCAGAAGGAATCAAAGCACAGGAGAGGATCTATTGAAGCAAAGCTCTGTGTTCTCCTGCAAAACGGACCAGCCTCTCGAGATGCAGTTTCGTTTCTGGCATATAGAACAACAAATGTGTCCTGAGTGAGGCGCCGAGGAGGTGAGGAGCATTTCCTTTGAGGCCAGTTTCAGGAACAGATGCTTGGATTTGAATTGTGATGGCATTTTGAAAAGGTAGAGGACGAAGTCAGCTCCCCCACCCCAGTAGATGAGCTCCCCATGATGAATGCTGCTATTAAGAAAATGACTTGTCTCAAATGTCAGACTGTGGCCAATGTTTTCAGTATAAAAATTGATAGCAAGAGAACAAGCCATGTTCCTTTTTACCCTTTATTTAATGTTCTTGCCAGGGACGTGTAATAAACCCTAATTATTCGAACTGCCTGCCATTCTTTGATAACATCGATTTCTTAAAAATAATTAGAGCTTTGCATCACATGTGTTACAATGGTGACACCATAATGATGATGAATGACATATGAAGTCAAGAGAGCTTTCAGAGCACAGAACTAATTACAACAGAAAACATTAATTTCAAACCGAAATTTAGGATTACACCAAAATGTAAACAGGTGAGATGATCAATTTAAAGACTTTATGATGCAAAATGAAACTAAAGTCATTAAACAGTAAAATACCAGCATGAAAGAATCAAGCTGTGAACTCAGTTTGACATAAATGAGCCTAAAAGCAGACAGGTACACATTTAAACAATCCATAAACATTGCCTTTCTTTAGTGTAGAAAGATTTGCCCTCTTCAAACAGAGAAGCCCAATCTACCATCTCAGGTTTTCAGCATGATCAAATTTGCACTTCAAACCATTGTGCCCATTTAATCAGCCATTATGTATGCCCAGTCAACCACTGCAGAATTTCTAAGCAAAATCTCAGACAGAGGCGCACAAAGCTATCTTTGATTCTGCGATAGCCCATGGGGAAACTTTATCAAACTCCTCGGCTTCCTGCCGAGACGGACCAGGTGACTAGCAAGCACTCAATCTCAGGGCGAATTTTTTCTCTGAATGCAGCAAAGACTCTCCCCTTTGATCCAAACAAAGACAGCTGCAAATGCCTCTCGAAAAGCTGCCCCACCAATCACACTTCCACCTCCTTCCACCAATCAGGAGCTCGTCTGCAGCACTGACCGTGCTGCTGCTTTTTCTACCTAGTGATTTTCTTCCATTCTTTGAATCAAAGAGGGGGGAGTGAGATGCAAACTGTGCCCTACTCACCCATCTCAGTGTCCGATTTATTGTCCATTTCCGTGTCAGTGAGCGTGAGCGCCGAATTGGAACGGCTGGAGAGGCATGAATTCTGCCCAGATTTTGCCCCCGTTCCCCAAAGAGTCATGGTACGTTCCGGTGATACAGGTTCATGGTTTTCTGTGGCGGCCGGCCCCCGGGTGTAGCTGCTGAGTGGGTGGGACAGGCCGGTCTCAGGGCAGAGAGCCAAGCCTCTGCGAGCTGCGGGCTCACAAATCCCGAGCTGCCTCAATGAAAATGTCTGTCCTGTAAACGACAGCAAGTTGTAAAGTTAACAAACCGAGCAACAACCAGGTTAATAGCCAAGAACACAACCTACTGATGAGCAACGTGATGTCTGATTCTGAACATCTAAATCCCCCACATTTTCTGCAATCAATTCATAAAAAAATATTCTTAAACCAAAAATAAAATATTTTGTTGTGACATAATATATATATATATATATATATATATATATATATATATATATATATATATATATCTTTTTTTAGGTACACTGTTTAGAAAACATTTTAACTTTGTCAACAACACATGGTTTTTGCTCTCCACTTGCAGCTAGTTAGGGCTTCTATTCTACATACACCAGAAAAAAATAATAAGCTGTCATAAATGTCTATGCATTTTTCCCCACGGGATAATGCACAGCAAACAAAAAAAACTACCATTGAGTTCAACTAGAAGTTCCAGAATTATGGGAAAAACTATTCCAACTTTTCAGTTCACTGTGTCTTCTATGTAAAAGAATAAATAAATAATATATTTTTTGTGGACAGGGAGAATATATTTATTATGTTTCTAATTTAATATATTTGTATATAAACACTATGTTCTATAAGGCAAAACTATATTACTATATATGCATGTATATAATTAAAAACATAAGATAAAATTGATTGATTGTTGAATAATTAGGCAAGTGACAAAAATCACAGAAAAAAAATTATGTTTTTAAAATTTTATTTTTTTAAACTAAAGCAAGTGTTTATAAAATATAATTGCATTAAGGAAAAAAAAATAGTTATTCTATTCAAATTTTTTTCTACCCTCTAAAATATTAAACAAGCAAAATTGTTTGTCTTTTATTTTTGTTATTCACACACACAAACACACACACATGCACACGCACACGCTGAATGAAGTAAATATGCTCTTTAAATCTGGCATTTACCATGAATATATAAGAAACAGATTCCAACTCTAAATGTCTACATTACATTAAAAAATAAAGGCAGTTTTCTTCCCACAACTTCATCTTGATCCCATTAAATCTGAAACGGACACCAATTAGCAGTGGGAAAACGTAAGGGAGTAATGGATAGATTTTCTGATTGCAATCTTATGAGCCCAACGAGTGCCATAAAATAGAGTAAAGTGCTCAAACTTTTTAATTACACAATTTAAAGCAGCTTCCACCAGCCAATTAAAAGCAAGTGTTACTTTTTAGGCACTGCTTTTATATTTTACCGTAGTCCAGAATGGTTGGAATGTTTTATAGGATCAGGGGAGCCCATTGGATCATGTTCTAAATGAGTTTTCTCCAAAAGCTTCAGAAAATAACACTTGATTATGCCTTAGTGACTTCCTTTAATTGTGTTTACCACAGTCTGGAGGTCTTCTTGGGATATTGTATTTTTTTTCCACATCAATTTTGCACAGATAAAAAGAATAAAACTGTGAGATTTTTCATTTTGGTAAACAAATGACAAAATCCCTGCATCTATGTTCATTTTCCTAATTAACATGTTTACACTAGTAAACAGCAGCAAAACAACAAGAATATGAAGATTTTGTTATTTATTTTATTTACTAAAGAAGAGAGAATGAAAGTTTCCACTTTTGTAAACTGAAGTGTTTTTCCATCGCTTCCACAATTAAGCAGTTACATTTAAAAGAAAAATGTTCATTAGACCTTATCTCATATTACTGTCAGGTAAATATGTACATCATATTTCAGAAAAGTATGTAACAGATGTACAACATTTGATAGAAAAAGCCTGTTTTCACTAACCAGGCCTGGTGTATTCTGCTGTCTCCTTGTGGACCATCTCCTTGACTCTGCCTCCAAACAGCATCCGTGAGGGGTCATGGTCGAAGGCCTGCAGGGTCTCGCTGGAACTGTACGATTTCTGAGTGGGAACACGACAGGCTCCGTTGTCCCGGTCCGTGGAGGAAGCTGTGTAGCGCCGCTCCCGATCCTTGTCTCTCTCGCAGTCTCTGTCCCGCTCCCTCTGACTCTTGGACAGCGAGCAGAAAGGCCGCTGCTCCCTCACCCTTTCCATGCTGCCGGCATGCTGGGCATCCAACTCCCTCCCTTTTGCTACTGACACTCTACTGAGACGTTCACCACTGGATTATTTCGCTTTCTTTCAGCTCCCCCTTCCTGCTCTCTCTGGGCTGCGATTCTCGTCCTGTGACTGATTTCCTCTCCAAATCCCTCCTCCTCACTTCTGAACCCCTGTCGCTTTTTTCTTCAGTCCATTCGGCTGTCCACCTGCTGCACCTGGGGGGAAAAAAAAACGAGAGATGAGGAAAGGTAGCAAGGAGCTCCGATAACACTAATCCTGCAGCTTCATCTTCAAAAGCACACTTATCTGGTTCTCACTGCCCCACCCCAACGCTCCCTCTACACCTCTGATACTTCACTCATGAACACTTGACTTCTATTCTTGAACAACTTCCTTTTTTTTGCTTGTTTCAGATGGTAAAAGTGGGTTTAGCTTCTGAAAGTTGACTAAAAACGATAAACAGACCATTTGTCAATTTGTTCTTCTGGAAAATAGAAAACATAATCTAAATTTACAACAGACCAAAATTATATTACAATAAAAATTTTCAATCTAACTGTTCAGCAGTTTTCATTTAAATACACAGAGGAGCAACAATAACGAGGGTGAAGACAAAGACTAATTAAAAATTAATAGCTCCTATATATATATTTTGTTAGGCTGTGGCAGCTAAGTAAAATATAGGAGCTGGTCCCTAAATTATTAAACCTTTTACTTATGGTGCTAAATATACCTGCAAACAACTACTTGTTTTTAAAGATCTGTCTTGAATTTTTGCTTCCACATCACTAAAATGGAGGTTAAATGCAAGTTTGTTTTTTTTGGAATAGTCAAGGCTCTGAAAAGTCATAACAGAAACGTGTTTCCTGCAAAACTGCCACTGTGGGAAAGCAGCCGTTTCCACAGAAACCTTAATGCATTTGCAACAGGAATTATTCATCGTGAGCCCAAACAAACTGAAGAGTGCGGAGAAACTTCACCTGGATCTGTGGTGGAATAAAACCCAAAGACAGAAGCGACGAGAAGTTAACTTTCTGTCACAGAAGGTTTAATTTTTTTTTGTTTTGTTTTATAGGAGAGATGAAAAAATTGTGGACTCAGTCTTTCTCAAACTGCATTTGAAAGAACTTTTGTTCAGTTTGAATCTTAACTTTTTCAATTCTTTGAATAACATGCAGATGGCCCTTTAGTGTACTACCAACCGCAGAGGGCCCTCCTCATTCTGCGCCTTCATTCTTCAGTGTTTCATGCCAAACTTCATTCCCATTTTTCGGGCTACCAAATCGCTTGAGGTATAACTGCCAGGCAAATATTTTATACCACCTTTTACAACCGACTACAGAGAATGACGATCTGCATACTTTTATTAACGTACTGTAAGGACATTATACGACTCCAATAAATCTCATCTAGCAGCAGAAGGTCATTCTGCATATCATTCTGCTTATTTCGGTCGGATCAGATCCAATTGGTCCAAATTGGGATGAGAACTAAAACAAAAATAACTAAATAGGTGATATTGTCATAAAAATATATATCACAATACATAAAAATATCACAGACGATGTTTTCAGTTTTTTCCTTTTTTGGGGATGGATTATATGGTGCTAAATGTACATATGTATATATATATACATGTACTGTATGTATGCAGTCACCCCCACACTGGAGCAATGCGCAGTCCTTGGCACAGCCAAGATACTGCAGGACCCTCAAGCTCCCAGGCCTCTGGTAGACGACCCGAGCTCAGAGGATAAGAACCACCCGCTGAGGGTGAGAAGGGAATTATTTGTATGTGTGTGTGTCTCAAAGAACATATAAAATTGATAAGTAGAAATAAACAGCTTGAAAACAAGCTGTTTTTATTACCGAATGGAAATAAAAATACTTCGACAAACAATTAAAACATTGGTTTTACAAGATGTTAAAAAGTTTTCCCTCCTTATGTTTAAGAACCGTGTTTAACATTTTCATAAGGAAAGCTTCCTTTTAAAAATGCTCATCACCAAAATATACCAATAAAAATTGTAAACATTAAAAGCTTTTCCACACTTCCTAAAGATCAATAACTTAATGATGCTCAGTGTTTTGAAGTTGAAGTTCCACTGAAAGCAGAATATCCCTAACCACCTGTGAAGTCCAACTGTAGCAAACAAAAGAGTTTTGCAAAATTATATTGATGCTTAATTTTAAAATTAATTATTTAATATTTATCATCATTCTATTCCTCCTTTTACAAAACAACTGACACAGTTTTTCTTTTTTCTCTCTTTCTTTTGGTGTCCACAGAGGAAAGCCGCCCTGGGCAGGAAGCCATATTGCCCACCCCTGGAAGTCTATTACAAATGAAGACATCTATTTTCAGAAAAAAAAAACGATGTCTATTTATCAGTACACAGGCTAACAAATTGAGCCGAACACACCAAGAAAAAAACCTCCTGATTTCAGGATCTATTGTGATTTTGTATGGCCATCCTGGCCTTTGACATTAGTTGTTTATATGCAGAGGAGCATCTGATACATCAGTTAAAATCTTCTAGCTGGTATAAATTCATAGATGACTTCCCAATCCCATCGTGGAATGTGGAAGGGAGCTGTGGTGTGTCAGAAGTGTTTATTACCAGCCATTTTCCACTGCCTCCTGACACACACTCACACACCACGAACTAAATTTCATTTCTCTCTTGGCTGAGCAGTAAGACTGGAGCATCAGACTCCATCTTTTCCCAAATGAGATCTACTTTGTTTCACATCAAGCATCAAAACATTTCAATGAACCCAGGATAGTGTACCGTCACACTGCGAGATAGCGCCAGCCCCGGAGACTTCCCAAAACCTGGAGCAGTCACCGGTGCAGTGCAGGATGCAGGGATAATGAAAATTGTAAGCTCTTCCACACCTATTAAACTTCCTCCCCCACCTCCCAAAGTTGTCTGATATGACTCTGTTTCCCTGAAGGGCTGAGATGCAATCAGCGACAGACTCTCCTGTAACCCTTCCTCTCAAGTCTCCACACTGCACCCCAAGCAGTTGTTTTTAGATGCCGCAAGCCGTCTCAATCACATCTCATCACTTTCAGCAAATTGTACACAGCCGTCCAGACGGGCAGATTAATGCATGGGATGAGTGTGTGCGGACACGCCCAGGAGCATCCCTGATTACGATCCTCGTCTTCTTTATGGACTTGTAAAGAGATTCGCTGTCTGAAGAACGGCTAATGCTACAAGTCTCACCCACTAAGCTGCATTCTGCACTATAGTAGGATTTAGATTTGCGTCCTAATCAGCTATAAGCCCTTGAGTGACCATGCATGGCCCTGTACAAACATCCCTGTGTGACTGAGGATGGGATCTATTCACAGCTACTTCAAGTGTCTCGCTTGTATGTAAACAGAATTGCAAAACACCTGAGAGGTATTTGTGATAGTCTAAATTATGTACGAAAGGTTCTAGATACTCTTGTATGTGCTTCTGCATTGGCAGTAAAGTCCGAACTTAAATAAACTGAATGTGCAATGTCTTCACTGCAAAAAATCTGCATCCAACCTCTCAAAAGAAACAAAGGCAAGAAAGTGAAGATTTGCCTTCTTGCTTTTAAACAGAAACTTTAAGGCAGGCCTTTTCATTTCTACCTTCCTACCTTTGATCATGCAGCTGAATCAGGACAGTCAGTCACCCGTGACCATTCAGTAGAGGAGTCGACAATGCAAAATTAGTGTCACACAGAGGTCCTCCTGCGAGCCACTGAGCCACGGAAGAAGACAATTCATGAGCTATGCGGCGCAGCTCTACACACATCTCAACAACTCCCCTGCCAGTTGAATACCGTCCCCCCGACACCTACTGCTGTCCCACACTTCTGCACTTCTTTGAAGCATAAACCATAAACCATCTGTAAGATACAGTGAGGGGAAACGGCTCCAAGTCATTTGGCTCTTCAAGGCAGCTGGAGAGGTTTCAAGGGTCTGAGATTTACTTGTTTCATGTCTGATGATGAGTATTTTATTCATCAAAGATGTCCAAAGGAGAGTTTTATGCTTCCGATCTGGGATTTGAAAAGGATGACCAAAAGAGAACAAGCACTTTTTTTTAGCTGATTTTGAATAAGAGTATGTTGGTTTACTAAAAAATAAACTGAAGAAACCTGGGTAATCTCTGCTTTATTCATCAAAACCTCTAAAAATATTATTTGATGACACAAGCAAGGGTGTTTAAAACACAGGGCAACTTTGTCAGCAGCTCTACGATTAATCAACTCATTAAGGCTGAAATAATTAATTAACCAATTAGTGAATTGACAGAAGATTTGTGTGCAATGTTTGGGATTCATTTAATGATAAATCCCACGTATTACCTCAGCTTTTAAAACCAAGAGAATATATGTTTAGAAAACGTAAATGTTTTTGTTTGTTTTTAATTCCTGTAAAAATGAGGAATTAAAAGTAAAGATATATTATGTGTGACAATTTTTAAGGACATTTTTAAAAAAAAGCTTTTGCATTATTCTCCCGCGAGGCGGTCCCATGTTCGATGATGATTGATGATAAGCAAACACGCCCACACACGGCTCCTATTGATACATTTAAAGATGCACCAATCAGCCAGTAGTGGATTTTTTGATTGGCAGGTCTGAGAAATTAAGTAAATGGTCCTCACCCCTACTAAATGATTCAAAGCTGATGTATCCTACCGCGTTTGGTGTATAAGCTAAATAAGGATCAGATAAAGGTTAGGAAAATATGTGTCTATGCATAAATAGAGATAATCAGTCAGTCTGGGGATTAGCAGATCTGACCTTAAAGAGGACCAGAAATCGGTCTAGAAAAGCCTGATCGGTGCATCTCTTGATTTGTGTCTGAACTGTTTTTAGTGCTTACGAAGCATTATAACTTTCCAAGCTAAATCCTTCTGCACCCTTCATGATACTAAGCTCTAGCAACCTCAGCTTAGAAAAGTAATGTTGGGGTGCTGTGGTGGCGCAGGGGCAAATCACAACCCATATATGGAGGCCTTTGTCCTTGTGGTAATAGTTACAGGTTCAATTCCCGGCCTGGCGACATTTGCCGCATGTCTTTCCCTTCTCTCATTGCCTTCTTTCCTGTTGAACTACTTTCAAATGACGGCCACGAGAGCCAACAAAACCTTAAAAACCTAATGGAATATCTGTGGTAAGATTACCCACAACAGAAAAATATGTTTAGGGAGTAGGATCTAAA